TGCTTGGTGCTTGGAATGGGTTCGTTTAGACTCACTAGTTGAAGGGTATGATGAACCCAACTCACAGAACAACCCTCTATAGAACTTCAACCAAGTCCATGGAATCCTCAAACCTGGTGAAAGTCCTAGAGTTCAAACCAACTACATGGAATGAACCTCCAACCTGTTGAAGAGCCATGGGATGGGGCTCATGTTGGCTTCTGATCGCTATACGTCTTCTACTGGAGCAAGGTTGGCCCGACTAAACTGCAGGTTGAGTGAACGGCAGTAAATAAAGAAAATAAACACACATGGCATAACGAATCTTAGCTATATCCTGAGTCCTTTTTGGTGTCCTTCGGAAACTGGAGACATGCACGTCAGTTTGAACAATAGCTCATATATCACCAGCTCCTTGGCTCCACTTTCCATGCAGGTGCACTTTGGATCCCATTGACTGCGATCTCACCTATCAGGTTGACCTTGCATGTTTATATATGGGTGGTCGCCTTACTGAGCACGCCACTGGATGTGATTTGGATAGGGAGGTCATGTGATGTTCCCAGTGTGGCTGGGAACCTAGAGCTTCCAGAACCATCTTGCAAATTATGCTGCATGTGATTCTGTAGCCACAAGCCTCTAGATCCATCTTACAGGACATGCCTGGTGTCAGAGCCATGACTCAACTGACACCATAACTGCATGATGAATAAGAAGTTAAAAGGTTACTTATAAAGCAGGGTTGGAACATGTTTGGAACGGCCGGTCGACCACTGGTACACTCGACATTGAACTCCAAGCTTGGTTGTGCCCACCATGCCATCCTTTGCTGCTGCTGCTGCTGATGACCTTTTGGAGCTCGAGGCTGAGGAAACTGTGCTAGGCCCAGACACTTTGGCCGGCATGCTCGAAGCCGACAAGCGGATCCGCAACCGCCTGCGCGCCAACGAGCAGGGAAAGCTGATGCGCTGGGCGAAGGATTCCAAAACCGGTAACGAGTTGGTGGGGCAGCTATCAATGACAACGATAGCCATGAATGTGAGAGCCCTCGCAATCCTAGCCCGATATTGGTGCCCGCGATGTAAGGATGATGTCAAATCGCCCAGCATTGACCTGTTGAGAAAACAGGTGATTGATGGGATTAAACTATGTTGTTTTGTAAACAATGGTCATCAACTGCCACCATGTTTGGATCTGGTTGTATTGGTGAATCAATTGTTGGGATACCTTCAAAACATTACATGTGGCCCTGCAGGTCCAGGACATGAAGTCTGCATGCGGGTATCCAAATGACCCGGCCCTCCTTCAAGCGGACACATGGGGGCTCAAGAAGTTGTTTACCTATGGCTGCCGCAAAGCAGGGTTTACCATGGATGCACGAAGCGGCAAGCAGCATAGCCCTGTGAGACGGGATACTTGCATTGTATAAAGCCAATACAATTATGTGGATGTGACTTTAATTGTTTTAACGGTTTAAAGCCTGTTCACGCACACTGGATTGGTCTAAGATGTGCAAGGTGCATGCACGCATGTTCTTTTTTTCAGCCCATTTGCAATAAGGACCCGACGGTGAATGAGTTTTATGAAGAGCTCGCCAAGCATTGGAAGGTCAAGCGGGCTGCCAAGCAGCGATCAAAGCCAGTGGTGGTCAACCTTGACGAGGAGGAAGAGGAGACCGATCTCAGCAATATATTTGAGGTTAAGGGCGAGTGTGAGGAGAGTGAGGAAGACTTGTTTGGTAGTCCATTGGAGGAAGACCCTTACCTTGTCCCAGCGGCCATTCAGAATGAGGTTGGGGGTCAAGACCAGGCTGATGCTCGAGAGCAGGTGGATATGCGACCTGCAGCAGTTCACAAGCCCGACCTGAAGCAAGCTGTGTCTCCTGCAGCACTGACCAAAGTTCCATTCACTCCCTCGCCAGTGTCCACCTCAATGTCGAGTAAAGAGATTGATGAACGGATTGCCCGTTTGAAGCTACCTGTCCTGTTCCTTTTTTTGATGATTGATATTTTGACGATGTGGTTTGGGGAGGTGGTCTTGTCTGAGTAGGGGTAGCCCTGGTAGCCCAACGATTTGATCATCCACCGCCTAGGAACATGCTGGCTTTGCGATCACAGCCAACTCCGCAGATCCAAAAGGAGACAAAGGCTGTGCCACAGCAGGTCAGGGCAGCTGCCACTGACGACATGGAGACTCAGCTGTTTGATGGAACGCTGCTGGCTGTAGAGCTGCAACAGGGACCTGTTGAGATCGTGGATTCTTTGTCTGAAACTGAACCTTCGACGCCTGTTGAATCGAAAACAGTTTGCAGGTCTTTGGCTCGTGACTTTAGCGGCGCTAATTTGGGACACAGTGAAGGCCAGGTATATGAAAACGATACTGTTTCACTGTTTCCACTGGATTTAAACACTGGAGGCCCAACAGCACTCATTTCCAAACTTTTGTTTAATCATGCGGCCAACCAACATGTCTGAAGGTGGGCAAGATGCCGCTGTGGTTGCTGGTTTTGGGCTGGATCAGCCACAGGATTTCAAGGAGCCAAAGAAAATTGACTCAGGTACGGATGTAGAAGAAGAGAGTAGGGAACAAGCCAAGAAGAAACCTGAGAACGGGGCAAAGGCGGAGGAAGAGGAGCAAAGAGTAGAGTCAGATGTGGAGAAACGGCAACAATCAGAGGGTCAGGGGATCCAAGAAACGGCAGAGGAGAAGAAGCCAGAACGAGCTACAGAGCACAGAGTAGAAGAGAAGGCAGAAGAGGAGCCAGAAGACAAGACAGAAAAGAATGCGGAACACAAGACAGAAGAGAAGGCAGAAGAGCAGGCAGAAGAGAAGGCAGAAGAGAAGGCAGAAGAGCAGGCAGAAGACAAGACAGAAGAGAAGGCAGAAGAGCAGGCAAAAGACAAGACAGAAGAGAAGGCAGAAGAGAAGACAGAATGCAAGACAGAAG